ACTTCCAGATATCATTGTACTATATCCCCCCCCACCTCCAGGTGTCATTGTAATATATCCCCCCCAAAAGCTGCTACAAAGCACTTTGAACTATTGCAACAATTCAGCAGACTTTTTTGCATTAACATTCATACAGTTTCATTGGGCCCAACTGCATTTGGCTCTGTAAGGAGCATGTGGTAATAAAGTTTGCTCAAGTCTTAATACTTGAAATGCAGAAAGTTCACCTGAATGGTTTCTCACAGAAAAACTTGATTTAATTTAAAGGACCACTTCACTTTTAAAGAAGTTGTTTAATAACCCCCACCCCCATGATGCATTGCACAGGCGTTAACCCATACCTAGCACTCAGAGGGGTTGGGGGGGGCTAAGGATAAAGTTATATTCATAACATTACTTTATAGAATGACCTTTTTCACCTATAACAGCTTTAAAATAACCTGCACTTTGCCTGCATTCCTCTGATTCGCCATTCAGCTGTCGGAAAGGGAAAGTCCTGTGTAAGCTACAAGTCGTCCATATTGCCTGATCGGCCCACCTCTGTTACATGCTCCTCCATACCTGAAGTAGCAGGTTGGTTCCTGCTGAGTCCTTTGGCTCCTGGCACTGAACGGAATGGAAGAGAAGCAAAGGAAAAGTAAGTACATGCTGGGAAGGAATGGGAAGCACACCATTTGCTTTGCTTTGAATGGGTAAAGTACAGGTCTGGGTATATTTTTTTAGGGGGACGGGAAGGGACGGGGCAACATTGCACACTGGAGTGATTGTTACCCATTCTTTTACACTAGGCCAAACTGTTCAGGTTGAGCTGGATGAGCTCAGTTATCTCCCTACGACTAAGCCCTAATGGGTGAAACACATTGGATGGTGGTGCCTAGATGGGGATCGGAAGATGGACTTCGTAATTCTTTATAATATAGTTTCAATCTTAGCCGTGTAATCGGTGTTGGGATCATTGATTGTTATTCAGTTGGATGAGGACTGTGCACAATATTTATAAAAAGTGTCCTAAATTCTTAATTGGATCAACAATCTGCAATACAAATGAATAAACTATGAAAACTCTACCAAGTGCTCAGATATCAGTCAACACTGTGGTTGATGCCTTGAATGATTAGCTGATGCATTGAGCGCAAGGAATTTACACAGGAGACCATCGGCTGGGTCTATATGGTGGCCGTTCATTGGTACTGCTTGGTTGCAATTGGGACAAGAGACTTCTGTAGAAGTCTAGAGGACGACAAAGGTCACTATCCAACCAAGTCTTCTCTATGGGATAGTTTGATCCACAGCTTATCCTTGCCGCATAGTCTAGACCAAAAGGAAGGACTGAAATGGTTTTAGTTGCCTCCTAAGGTTGAATTGGTGGTAGATACCAAGGACGGGCATGTACGGATATCCTTGAGGATCTGAACATAATCGCCTATGCGTCTGTACAGAAGTTAACCCCTGCAAGTGAACTCATCTGCCCATCAACCTCGTACTGCATTTCAAAGTTTAGAAACTTCCTTAGCTCTGAGGAAAACAGGAAAAGGTCAATTATCTTATTTAAAGCAAGGCAGGTAAAGGGGGACAGGTGTGTTTAATCCCAAACTCCACTCCAGCAGCAGATATTCACCTTTCTTTTTCTTCCACAATGCTCCATTTAGTTGCTGGGAGCAAAGAACAAACCCAGGATCTGAGGTACGAGGGAGCAAAAGACAGCACTGGACCAAAACACCGATAGACCATTATCAGAGATGGGGCTCTGGTATGGATTTTACGCTGGGACCCCACCAAACAAAGTGAGCTTCCCCTTCAAAATCAGAAGCCCCTCTTTACAGTAAGAGCCCCCGTCACATCAGCGTGCCACCATTTAACATCAGGAGCCCTCCTTTAATATCACAGTCCTCAGGCTTCCCTTCACATCAGGAGCCGTAGTTGCGCCAGCATTGCAGAGGACAGGAAATGGCCCAGGCCTGGTCAGAAGAGAACTTCCATCCTTTTCTGAATGGATCCCACTTTCACTGGATTAACAATTCTTTTGCATGGTGCTGGTACCCGGCCCTCCTACACCACGCAAGGCCATGATGCTGTGCAAATATTTCAAGGCAAGACTGAAATTTTGGAAGCCAGAAGGCATCCTGGTTGACAATGGTTGCCATAGTCCATCGTAAGATGGCACAAAAGACCTTTTAGTTATCTTTCCTTCAGGCAGCTTATAATCTAAGTCTCCATCGAGGACCATGTCCAAGCCAGAAGCAAACCAGCGTGCATCTTCAAAAGAAATAGGAGTTTTTTATATGGTTACTGCTGTTCTACAAATCCAATAAGAGAACAGATCTGCTATACAAGACAAATCTGAGGACGCTTATCCAACCAAAGGCTTGTTTATACTTCAATGTGGTACCCTCGGAGGATGCCGCCCACATCAGAGGCCAAGCCCCTTCTATCATGAGTACAATGCACTGTCAATGTTACTCCACATGCCATTGAGAGCATGCAGGACAGACACTATCCGATGTCTCCATCACCATGGCCTGGGAATGGATGAAAGTCCTCAAACATGGTCAAGGAGCAGCCTGCCTCTTCCCACAGCATTTCTATAGTGGGAACCAGCCACGACCTGGCTTCAGGGGTCTTCTGACCTCTCCCAGCAGGACTTCTGTACATAGCACAGGAATCCATCTGCAATAGGAAACGGTCACCATTTGGTCAGAAGGGCCTGAACCCACCAGAGCTTCCCCTCACCATAGATGGACAAGAACAATGGCTGACTAAGGCGCATGCTGACATTCTTGTCTATTTCGGTAAAGAGACCATCCCTCAGCTACAACGGGGTACAAGTCCCATTATCACACTACAAGGCGAGACGTAGCAGGACTCCTGAAGGGGCAAAATAAAAAGGCACCACCAGATTTCAGGATGGGACGCAGAACAACCTTATTAATAGGAATGCACCGATACCGGTTTTTCGGTATTGAGTACCAATTATTATTTTTTTCAGTACTCGCCGACGCCAAATAGCGATACCGGTGCCCCGATTACCAGGAAGCCAGATGGCAGATCATGACCAGACGCCCGGCTTCCTAATTGCCTGGGAAGCCAGGGTAATATGGAAAGAACACTGGCTTCACTTCCGGCTTCACAAGTCGGGCGGCGGGTCATGAGGTGCCACCTGGCTTCTTGATTGGCCAGGAAGCCAGTGACGCCAGCTTATTAGCAAATCAGGAAGCCGGGTGGCACGTCATGACTCGCCTCCCCACTTCCGGATTGGCTAGGGGGCCGCTTTCACTTGTTGCTAGGCGGCCTGGCTTCCTGATTGGTTAGGAAGCCATGCTGGCTAACAAGTGAAGCTGGCTCCCTAGCCAATCAGGAATCCACCTCCAAAATCCCTCGGCTATGCCGGTCAGAGGGAGATCTCCCTCTGACCGGAAATTCCGGTATCTAGGATAAGAATCAGAGCATTTGGGCAAGTAAGAGTACTCACCCAAATACTCGGTATTAGCACCAATGCTGGTATCAGTATATCCCCAATTATTAGTATTATGCTGAAGGACGGGGACACTGGAAAGGAAAACACTAAGACAGAGGTAACCAAACTCCACTGCAAGACTGTGCCACATGCATGACTCCCAGAAGCAGATGCATGATGGGATTTGTAGTCTCGCCATAGCTGGAGGGGCTGGCGCTTGGCTTCCCCTGCTCTAAGGGGTCTTATTATAAAGCAGTGAATGTGAATTTCAACAGACATTCTCCGGCGGAGGATCAATGGCCGTCATTTAAAAAAAACAAACCACATGGACCAGGAAGGTTCCCCAGCAGAGAACGTATGGTGAACGTCAGATTCACCTCCTTATAAATGATTCACCCATTCATGGTGCAGGTTTGTTGCTCGTCCACCAGAACACATCTGCGGCATTTATGATCATCGGGTGGGATTCATCGATTGCCAATAAAAAGGTTATACAGCGTAGGGAATCACCCTGCAAGCGTATTCAGATCTTTGATCGCTTCATCCAACTCATTGAGGGGAATGCACCGGGACTGGAGCAGACAGAAGCTGGAGCAGGTGTCCACGGCAACCAATCAGCTTCCAGGTTTCATTTTCAAAGGTTGAAGGTTACATAGTCCAAGCTCATCACGTTCTATACTCAGTGTATAGGACATGAGGACACAGAGGGACATTCCATTGCTGCAGTGGAGGGGGAGACCGGCTGCCGGGAGTGCTGCGACAGCCAGCCGGCTCAGAGGATTGGGTGAGTAGATCTTTGTTATTTTTGACCCTGGGCACTCAACCCTTGCAGAATGGTGGCAGCGCCCACTACAAGGATAACATTTTTACCCGGAGTTGATCTTTAACGCACTATGGCTGCACCTACCGGCTTCCCCTTGTCTCCGATGGGGGAAGAGGTGTAGTATAGAGGAGGAGGGGTACCTTCATCCTCTCATGGCACTGCCTGTGTGGTCTCTGATGGCAGAGGGGGTACAGTATAGTGAGGGAGGGGTGTCGTATAGTGGTACCATCATCCTTTCATGGCACTGGCTGGGGTCCCTGATGGGCGGAGGGTGTAGTATGGGTGGGGCGGTAGTATAGGGGTACCATCATCATCTCATGGCACTGGCTGGGGGTCCCTAATGGGTGTAGTATAGAGGTGGAATAGTATAGGGCAACCCACAGTTGAGGGGGTCCCCACGTGCTTTGTGCTGCTCTAGGTAAGAGGCTCCTCAGCCTCCTCCTAGCGCAGCAGTGTCAGTACTCCTAGATGGTGCTGCATCAGCAGCAGCTGGAGAGGGTCAAAGAGAGGGGAGCGGGCAGGAGTGAGAGGAGGTGAGCGCTTGATCACCACAGAGCCCGCAGCTGGGCACCACCAGTCCCACTAGCCACCTGAGAGCCCACATAGTCTCCAGAGACCCCACACAGATACTAGTATTGGTGCATCCCTAAATTTTACGGTTGGGGGTCACCACAACCTGGCAAATGTTACCAAGGGGTCCCCGGCCCTATAAAGGTTGAGAACCACTGGTATAGGGGTACCTTCATCCTCTCACGGCACGGGCTGGGGTCTCCGATTAGGGAGGGGGTAGTTTAGGGGAACCATCATGCTCTCATGGCACTGGCTGGGGGTCCCTGATGGGGGAGGGTGTAGTATAGAGGTGGAGGGTTAGTATAGGGGTACCATCATCCTCTCATGGCACTTGCTGGGGGTATCTGATGGGGAGGGGGATGTAGTATAGAGAGGAAGTAGTATAGGGGTACCATCATGCTCTCATGGAACTGGCTGTGGGTCTCTGATGGGGGATAGTATAGAGGGGAGTCGGGATTTTCAGACAAGACGAAGCCTCGGACGGAAGCTCCGAATTACAGGGCGCCGCCATCTTCCCCCTTGTGTGCGGCCGGAAGTGACGTGTCCGGTGGGCGGGGACTGGGCCTACCGCTGCCCGGCTAGAGGAACCGCTGGAAGGATGAAGAGGAGGGGAGTCTGAGGATCATCATGGCTGGGGGAGACTGTGGGGGTACTGTGCACCCTAAAACTGATCCCCCCCTAACCATTCTTCTGCTCGGATACAAGTGAACTTTAAATCATGAAGGTTCACCTATAACCCAATAATACTCAATAAACATGGCTGAGGGACACCCCGGCATAGTGAGCCCCCTAACACCAAGTCCCCCAAACTGTTCTCCCGCCCAAACACCCATGCCCTTTAAAATCATTGAGTTCCACCCATAACACTCCATATACATGGCTGTACACATCCCCACCTGCCTGCAGAACCTCAACAATAATTTCCCTGAGGGGAGTTTATCAAAACTGGAGCAGGCAAAAATCTGGAGCAGTTGCCCAGGGCAACCAATCAGCTTCTCTCTTCAGTCTATTCAGTTAAGATTTGAAAATGAAAGAGAGAAGCTGATTGGCTGCTATGCACAGCTGCTCCGGATTTGATACATTTCCCTCCCAGTGTCCTTGTTGTGTAAATATTACCTCATAAATATGCTGCATGACGTCATTGTAATCAATATATGCGACCATTGCATCATCAGTCAGCTCATAAACTTGTATTATAACCTCAGAATAATCCCCATGTTTGTATATTATACCGACATAATCTCATATTTACCCAACTTTATAGAAAGAATAATCAGTATTTCTGGTTTGATACCATTATTACCTCATAAATACCCAACTTTATATTTAAAAAAATATGAATTTCTGGTTTTATACTATTATTACCTCATGAATACCCAACTTTATATTAAAAATAATTAGTATATCTGGTTTTGTACCATTTTTACCTCATAATTACCCAACTTTATAATAAAAATAATCAGTATTTTTGGTTTTATAAAATTTTTACCTCATGAATACCTAACTTTATATCAAAATAATTAGAATATCTGGCTTTATACCATCATTACCTCATAAATACCCAACTTTATATTAAAAATAATTAGTATATCTGGTTTTGTACCATTTTTACCTCATAATTACCCAACTTTATATTAAAAAATAATCAGTATTTCTGGCTTTATACAATTTATACCTCATAAATACCCAACTTTATATAAAACAAAATCTGAATTTCTGGTTTCATACTATTATTACCTCATGAATACCCAACTTTCTTATACAAATAATTAGTATATCTGGTTTTATACCATTATTACCTCATAAATACCCAACTTTATATGAAAGTCGGTATTTCTGGTTTTATACAATTTGTACCTCATGAATACCTAACTTGATATAAAAAGTATTAGAATATCTGGTTTTATACCATTATTATCTCATGAATACCTAACTTTATATAAAAATAATTAGTATATCTGGTTTCTTACCATTAGGCCTCATTCACGCTGCAAAATTGCACCAGCTGTGGCGAGAATCTGGTGGATTTCTGCAGCTGGATTCACACAGGTGGATGAGGATAGTTGCGCCAGAAGAGCCTGTGCAAATCAATAACAGGCCAAACATGGCCGCAGCTGTCCGCCGGCATTCGAATGTCATAGCACATGGAGCCATTACCTGCGGTTAAGGCCACATGATCGACCAAGGGAGCGCACAGCTTGCGTTCAGAGGCGATCATCTGTCTCTAACCGCAGGTAATGGCTCCATGTGCGTTTAAATCCCAACGCCCGCGGTCAGCTGCGGCCGCGGTCAGCATGTCATTGCTTTGTCCAGGCTCAGCAGACGCATCCACCTATGAATCCAGTCTCTGGAATCCGTCGAATTGTTGCCACCGCTGGGCGAATGAGGCCTTATTACCTCATAAATATCCAACTTTCTATGAAAACAAATAAGTATATCTGAATTTATACCATTATTACCTCATAATTACCCAACTTATATAAAAAAAAAAAAATTATTTTTGGTTTTATACCACTATTACCTCATGAATACCCAACTTTATATAAAAATAATTGGTATATCTGGTTTTATACCATTATTACCTCATAAATATTCAACTGTCTATGAAAAGTAATAAGTATATCTGAATTTATACCAATATTACCTCATAATTACTCAACTTATATAAAAAAAAATCTGTATTTTTGGTTTTATATTATTACCTCATGAATACCCAACTTTATGTAAAATGAGTATAAGCCGAGGGGGGGCACTTTTCAGCCAAAAAAATGGGCTGAAAATCTCGGCTTATACTCGAGTATATACGGTATATACTCGGTTTTATACCATTATTTATTACCTCATAAATATCCAACTTTATATAAAAACAAATAAGTGTATGTGAATTTATACCATTATTACCTCATAAATATCAAACATGACCTCAGAATAGTCCCCCTGTGTGCTCCCTATCTTAATACTACCCCATATACATATTATTTCCTCAGCGTAATCACTCTTTTTGGCAATTGATATAATTTTCACCTCATAAACTTCCAACTTTATATTTAAAAAAACAGTATATCTGTATTTATACCGATATTATCACTAAAGTATCCAACATGACCTCAGAATAATCCCCCAACCTCCTCGTGCTTGTTGTATTAACATTACCTCATATGCATATTATTTCAGTGTAATCGTTCTGTGTGGTCATTTATATCAGTATCACTTCATAAACATCCAACATCACCTCACAATATTGTCTATTTATCAACGGTTTTACCCAAGATCTACATATTTCCACCTTAAATTCTATCACACAATGGGTTCATGGGTGAAGGTTGTATGTAGGGTTGCCACCATTGTGGAGAATAATACCAGCCCTATGTCCTATTGATAATATTGGCAACCAGTTCAATTTCGTACCAGTAAAATGTCGTCCTGGTGGCATACCTGGTTGTGTGAATCTTGGGTGAAATCTTTGATACATAGACCCCCCCATGTGTACTTGTTATAATTATATCATCTCAGAGACATGAAGGAAGACCTCAGTGTAATCATGCCGCGTGGTCATTTATATTAATATGACCTCAGGAACATCTAACATGACCTCAGAATGATCTCTGAGTGTGAATTTTATATCAATGTTGGTAAACATCCATTATTTCCGCAGGGAGTCGGCCAGCTTGCATTCCAGTGCGTTCTAGAGGCACCGGCGTCCTGTCCTCCCGCTGTGCTCGTGTGGCCCGAATGTGGCCGACGTTTGCACACGGGGAAAGGTGTCTTGCCCCTTTCCGTCTGCGGCGTCGAACACATTCAGCAGGCAGCCACACGAGCACCGCGGGAGCATAGCCGTAGCTAGCTCCATTTGAACCCGAGGCAAGAAAAAAAATGTGCCCCCCCCAACAGGCATGTGACATCACCCAACGCCCTGCCTCCAGGATTTTTTTTTTTTTACTATTTTTTATTATTTCTAATTGTTTATTTGAATTTACATTTTTTTTATTTTTTTTTTTTTTTACTGTTGGGGGCTTCGGGGGAAATATTAGGGGTCTAAACAGCCCCCTGATATTTCCCTTTTAAAATAGAAAAAGAAATTGAGGATACAAAGTCCTCAATCTCTTTTTCTGCAGCCTCTGTTCTAAATGAATGGAAAGCACAGAGGCTTCCCATTCATTCAGAAACTATTTACTATCAAGCAGTTTCTGAATGGGGAGGAGCCTCTGTACAGAGTGCTACTCCCCATTGAGGATATCATGAATGAACAGGAAGTGATGTAAATCACATCCTGTTCATTCATAACTGGGGACATAGTACTATGTGTCCCCAGTTATTTACAAACACTGGAGTGATCAGCGGATGGCTCCGGTGTTTGTCCTGCACAGAGGATTCGTACATATCCCTGATATGTACCGATCCTCTGCCGCTCGGCCACGCACACGGGGGCTCAGCTTCTCCTCTGGATCCCCTCTGTTCTCCCAGGCAGAGCCGCTGTCACAGCAGCATGTGCGGTTAGGAGAGAGAGAGCCGCCGGCTGTCAGATCCAGACCGAGTGGCTCTCTCTCCTCACCGCTCAGCGTGCTGCTGTGATAGCGGCTCTGCCGCCTGCAGCGCTTCGTTCACTTCTCGGATCGGGGAGGGCAGCGGGGATACAGAGAAGCCCCACGGCAGGAGGACAGGACCTCTCTATAGTGGGCTCTGCAGGGTCTCGGATGGGCTGCACACCTCTTACCTGTCAGCAGCTGTTCTCCACCTCCGTGGTCGCTGGGGCCCCGCCTCCTCTTCCGTCCCTGGGCCCCGCCTCCTCTTCTATCGACGGGCCCCGCCTCCTCTTACATCACTAGCCCCACCTGCTCTTAGGTCGCTGGCCAGTGATGTAAGAGGAGGCGGGGTTGCTCTTAGGCGGGCCCCGCCTCCTCCTTAACTGCGAACGCTGGCCTCTTCTGCCGCTGCTGCTGGCTGTCACTGACACAGCTCCGCAGCGGCTATGAGGGGAAACGAAACTGCTGAGCTGTGTCAGTGACAGCCAGCACCCCTTACATGCCATAGCGGCCCACACGGCATCAGAGGGATGCCCTGGCCGCCCCCGGCCCCTGTGCCCGGGCCCCATAGCTGGCCGCTTGGGTCGCTATGGTGATTGTTACGCCATTGCACACAGGGATTCATATACACACACACATGTACAATCACATACAGACACACAAAGGTTGATCTTGATGGACCTGTGTCTTTATTCAACCTCAAATACTATGTAACTATGTAACCACAAGTACTGAGTGTTTCCTGTCCTGGTAGGTGGAGTGTCACTCTTTCAAGCTGTCCTTGAAGACTCTTTGAAACAGAACGACCGGTAAGTCCTACATTTTTTTAAAGCCCAAATCCAGCTTTGGCAAAAAAGATAAAAATGTCATTTCCCAACACTAGTTCAAATTAAAAAGCAGCTCCGGCTGCAATATCCACCTCCTCTTCGGCGCTGTCCTCTGCAGACTTACCCACTTGCCGATCCAATGCCGGTCCTCTTTGGGGTTGAACGGCTCCCAACAC